CCTCCTTTATGCTGCTTTCGGATACATCTAGGTTTGAAAAGAAATAGGTTCAGTTTACCTTCCAATACTTACAAAGATATAGTGCACATGGTTTCAGTTTCAGGCATGTACTTACTAAAAGGCTCTGGTGAAACAAGGAGGTTACAGTAAGGTTCCACCCAGCCACTATCCGGTTTTTTTTTTTTTTTGTCTTTAAGGCCCAATTAAGAGATTTTTGAAGGCTACCAACAGCATTTAGAAGTTTGAATTTTTGGCCAAATAACCAAGGTGGAAAAAGATAAGGGGGGGAAAAAAGGAAAAATAAAAAAAAGGGCTGTATCCAAACAAAAACTGGAAATCGGGAAATTATTGTATTCTTTAAGTAACTTATTTTCAAATAAAACATTTGGCAATTGAGATTAACGTCTTTATTGAGCTACTCAGGGCCCTTTCCTTTTAAAAAACAGGACCAAACAATTTGAGAGTTAAAGACACACTATCCTTTCCCCACCCAGTGCAATACCTGCATAAACTTTCTTTTGGGGTTCCAAAAAGTTCATTGCTTCTTAATTGCAATTCGTTTGCCACATCTATTAGAATACGAAGTCCCATCAGCACAACAATAGTTGAACTGATCGTTTGTCTCTAAGAGGATAGTGCATCTTTAACGTTTAAAGACAAACCTGCTCCAATACACGCCCACAGAAACTGGTCCCTGGAGGATCAGCCAAATCAGTTAAAATCTGCAATACTGGCCAATATTCTTTTATCAAACAGGAGACCGCAGCTTTAAAGGGGGAAAATGCAGACGTTGGATAAAAACAGCAAGAAATAGTCATTTTCATCAATAGGTCTCAAACAGCTTACGAACAGCCACTCAGCTAAGCGCCACACTCATGCTCCTGCACCCCTCGACTCGCCCAGCGCAGCCCTCCGCAGCCGGGCGGGCGGCGGCGCCGACATTACCATGTGCTCACGAGGACACGGCGCCCTCCTCCTCCGGAGACTTGGGCGGGCTCTTGGACCGCGAGCGGGACTTGGACTCCCTCTTGGACACTGGCGGCGGGCTTCGGGAGCGGGACCGGGAGCGCGAGCGGGACCGGGAGCGGGACACCGACGACGACTTGGACTTGGACCTGCGCGCCGAGCGGGACTTGGAGGTGGAGCGGCTGCGGGAGCGCGTGCGGGAGCGCGACTTGGAGCGGCTGTAGCGCGAGCGGCTGCGGGAGCGGGACCTGCTGCGACTCCGGGAGCGCGATCGGCGGCGGCGGCGAGGGCTGCGGGCGGAGGGAGGGCGCGGTGAGCGGCGGCCCCAGGCCTCCCGGGCCTCCCGCGCCCCGCCCCGCCGCCATTACGCCGCCGCCGCCATTTCCCGCCCGCCCGCCYCGCCCGCCCTCCGCGCTCACCTGCGGCTCCGCCGGCCGTAGCCGCCGCCCCCGTACCTGCGGGGCGGCGGGCCGCGGCGGCTGTGGTGCGAGTCGGGCGGGCGGCCGTAGCGCGCCATCTGCACCCGCAGCTCGCGCCCGTCCAGCACGGCGCCGTCCATGGCGTCCATGGCGTCCTCGGCGTCGCGCTTGTCGTGGAAGCGCACGAAGGCGAAGCCGCGGGACTCCTTGGTGTAGCGGTCCCGCGGGATGTACACGTCGCCCACGCGCCCGTACTTCTCGAAGACGCGCCTCAGCGTGTCGGGCGAGGTGCGGTAGGTCAGGTTGTCCACCTTGAGGGAGGTCATGCCCTCCACATCGGGAGGCGGGCGGCCGTAGCTCATGGCTCCGAGGCGGCCCGGGGCCCCGCGAACTGGCGCCGAGACTCTAACGGCCTGGGCGGGCCCGCGCGCTGCAGGCAGGCGGCGGTCTTCTCAGGTCCGGGGGCGACGCCGCGCCCTAGCAGCTGCTTTCCGCGTGGAGAGGCCGGGAAGAGGGGCGGGCTGGCGGGCGTGCTAGCTCCGCAACTGGGCGCACCTGAGCAGCAACTGGATCGGCGGCCGAACCCAGCGCCCATTTATAGCCCTTCTCACAAAATGGCGCCCGCGCCACCCGGAAATGAATCCTCTGATTGGCTCGCCTCACCCGCTCCGTAACGTCGCCGCCGCGCGCCCCACCCCTGCCCGGCGCGCCTGCGCAGAGGTTAGCGGGCGGGCCAAAAACCGCGCAGTCACCGCARGCGGGAGGGGGGAGTGGAACCTAGGGCAGTTGGAAAGCCCGCGAAATGCTCTTTCAGACGGCGAGACAGAACCTGGGCGCTCAGGCTGGAGGAAGGAGAGGCGGGCCCTATCTCAACCCCGCCTGTTTCTCATGCCAGTACGAGAGCTCCACGCAGCTCCTGGGCGCAGCCCCAGCCCCGCCTCTGTCAGAGTGGTAGTCCTGTTCCCAGTGCTTTGTGTCCTCGCCGCCTCAGACTCCCTCCCGGTAGCTCGCTACGGCCTAAGGCTGGGTCGCTACCCCTGGGCCTGGGGCTCTCGCGGTACGCGTGCTCGGCCCTGCATCCGGGACTCCCCTTCCCAGAGGGCGCCGGGGCGCGGTCAGCTGACAGGCCTCGTGACCCGCGAGGAGTCAGGCGGCTGGAGGGCGGGGCCGGGGCTGCCGCTCTCCCCCGTGCGCGCCCGCTGTCTGCAGTGGCCCTGCCTGTGGCGCTCCCGGCGTCGCCCCTTCCCTGCTCGGGCCGCGTCTCGGGAATGCTCGGCCGTGCCGCCCGGCACAGCGTCAGCCTGCGCCAGGTGCCGGCCCTCGACTGCAAGCTGCCAGTTCGGCCGCTCGGCTCCTGGCGCTGCCGGCTCCGCACCGCCGCGTCTCGTCCCCAGGGTCGTCGCCGCTGCGCCCCGGGAGCGCTGACTGCCCTGGGCCGCTGTCGAGCTCGGGCAGGGCGGAGCCAAAATGTCCCCGGAGTCCAAAAAGCTCTTCAACATCGTCATCCTAGGAGTCGCCTTTATGTTTATGTTCACCGCCTTTCAAACTTGTGGCAACGTGGCGGTGAGTCGGCGCCTGCCTCCTGCTTGCAGTGCCTGTCCCTGCGTCCCCGAAAGCAAAACGCCAGTCGTGTCCGGTGGCGCGGACAGGGCCCCTTCTCTCTTCCCACCTGCCGCCCCGTCTTCCGTGGTTAGGTTTGATTTCACGGGCCAGACTTTGCTCCTTCACGGGGTGCTTCATGTTCCCTTTGTTTCTCAGTTCGACTTTGGGGTGTCGACCCTCGTTTTTTGTTCCTTGCCTGCGTGAAGCTCCCCCTTGATACTGGGATGGTCAAGGTGATAGAACCCTAAGCACAGGTACCGCTGGTTACCTCCGGCCCTTTAGTTAGTGTGCAGCTCTAGCTGTCCTCCTCCTCCTCTCATAGTGGACTTGCATTGTGAATTTTGACAGTTTTTCTTCTGAGTGCGTGGAATTGGACTTTCCAAGGGGGAGGGAGATTGCAAAACATTTTCCTTGATTAGTTTTATCTTCTACGCAGCAAACTGTCATCAGGAGCTTAAATAGCACGGATTTTCACGGCAGTGGATATACCAGGTATTGTACTGTATGTAATGGTAATTGTGTAAGTTCCATCAGAATCACTAGGAATAAAATACTATGGTTGAATSAATAAAATACTGTGGTTGAATCAGTGATGATTGCGCTTTTCTTCTGGCCATCTAGTTTATTGGGATGAACATAATGCAATTAGAGGGGACTAGTTAGGTTTCCTGTGGAATGAGAGACTAGTGTTTTGAAGACCTGCTTCACACACAGCCTGATTGCTTACTTAGTTACCTTAGAGTTATTTCTATAATCCCAGTTTCTTTGCTAATCTGATAGAGATAAATCACTTGGTGTAGTGTGTGACATTTAATAAAGTACTGTCCATTATGAAATCACAAATGTTTCATGTGATTTTTGAATCATTCGATCTTCCTGTTTTTGCGATTTTGTAGCAACTATAGTTCATTAGGCACCTTGAGATTTTTGCTTAAGGTGTTCAGTTCCAATTTTATAGATGGGGAAAATGTAAAGACCTTCACAGATCACTAGTATCTTATGATTGAAGCTGCAGGAGGATGGGGGTAGTACATATGTGCATGTATACAAAGGTTTCTCTTTATTGTAGTACTGGAAATTGAACCCATGGATACTTTACCATGGAGCCACATTCTCAGCCCTTTTTATTTTTTGAGATAAGGTCTTGCTGAGTTGGTGAAACTGGCCTTGAACTTCGAAGTCCTGCCTCAGCCTCCTGAGTAGTTGGGATTACAAATGTGTGCCATTGCTCCTGGCAAAACGTTTTTGATTGGCAAAAATTATATATATTTATTGGTACAACATAATTTTTCAAAGTCTGCATACATTATGGAATGACTAATATGGGTTTCTCAAATCTTTCTATAGTTAAGAATTGAATTGTGGCATTTCCCTGTCCCAAACTCTTCTTATTTGGTTATTATCTATGTTAAACCATATATATGATATTTGAGAATAAAGAATGTTAGTATCCATTTTTCTACATGGCTTAATAGTAATATCACATTTTTTGGTAATTCTGTGTTTTCAAGTGTATTCTAAATTAAAAAATGAAGGAATACATTTGATATTGATTCATAAAAGCCAGAAAACAGTTTGCTTTACAAGTATTGGCTAGTAAATGAAATCAGGACCCTGGAAATGGTTTTAATCACACTTGTGCAAGATATTATAGTAGGCCTGGGTCCATAGAATCTGGAAGAGGTACAAGTGAAACCATTATTTTGAGTTAAATACATTCCAACTCCGTGCTTGGTATTGTAGCAAAGAAATGTTATGCAGTTACCAAAAGTGGTAGGCTAACTTTGTAGAGTGGACTAGTTGATCTAGACTCCTGGAATCAGGTTGTCAGGATTGGGAACCTGGCTCACCATTCTTACCAGCCACACCGATGAACTCCTGGCAACTTATTTCACTCCACTGTATTTCAGTTTCCTTTTCTGTGAAATGAGATCAATACCTTTTTTTGTAAGAGCTGTTAAAATTAAAAGCAAAATTCCTGTAAAGTACTTGACACAATACCTGTTGTATGTTAGCAGTTACTGTAACTTAGCAATTCATTGAAAATTGATTCAAAGCATCTGACGGGACTTTAGTGTTATGTACAAGTGAAAACTTTATATGACATTCTGTTTAAGAATGCAATCACTGACAAATGTGAATATTTATTACAAATCTACAGACTCTAAATAGAAATTTTAAAGTGAAACCTTTTTGAAACTGGGCATGATGGGAGCTGGAGGAGACTACAGGTCCTGGCCCCAGGGAGACAGGATGCACAGAAAGGGCATGTGAACTGCAGGTGAAACCAGTGGCCCTGGTTTAGGGTTAACACTTGAAGATGAGAAAATTTGATCTCTGTTTGAACTCTGAAGGGGCTGAAGTGGTTTTAGTTACATCARGTGATGAAAAACACCCACCTTAAAATATCATTGGTGGGAATCCAGAAACATTTTGGACTACCATAGGAATGTTCCCCCAGGAGTTCATCATGTGTTTTCACATATAATAAAGCTTATAATACAAAGTTACTTAGCGTGGACCTTGAAGATTGAAAAGACCACATCTAAAGAGCCTGTCAGTTTTGAGCATTGGATTGAAAAAGATTTTGTACACACAGAGGGGCAGCTTCAAAATGAAGAAATTGTGGCTCATGATGGCTTCTGTACAAACTTGATATTCATAATTACATCAGCTTTTAGTCATTTTATATCTGTACGTAGTATTTCTGCAAAGAGAATAGTAGTCTCAAAGTCATTCTTAGTAATTATAATAAAATGCCTTGCATAGTCTTTAATAATATATTTAAACATGAAGTTGTCATTGATGTACTTTAGTAAAAAGATTTATATCAAAAAAAAAAAAAAAAACTACGCATGATGATAACATGCTGTAATCCCAGTGGCTTAGGAGGCTGAGGCAGGAGATTCACAAGTTCAAGGTCTATTCTTGGCAATTTAGCAAGGCCCTATCTCAAAATTTAAAGAAAAGTGTGTGGTTGGGGGGACTGAAGATGTAGCTCAGAGGTAGAGTGTTCCTAGGTTCAATCCCAGTACTGTTAAAAAAAAAAAAAAAAAAGTAGTGGTGCGAAGGCTGGAAATGTAGCTCAGTGGTAGAGTGCTTACCTAGCATGTGTGGGGCCCTGAATTCAAGGTCTGATACTATTTTTAAAAAAAAAAAAAAAAATTTTTCTGAGAATAGTATTTAGGGATTTTGTTCTTTAATTCTCTTTTGTGTGTTATGTACAGCATGGCAATTATTTATGGAGTGTTCTCTGCTTCAAATTTGATTACACCATCAGTGGTTGCCATTGTAGGACCTCAGCTCTCTATGTTTGCCAGTGGTTTATTTTACAGGTGAGTAGTGCAGTCTTTTTTTCACTTGTTTGCTTAGAATGCCTCCAGTGCCTTTCCAACATATAGTAAACTTTGAAAATTTCTTGCAGACTTGGACTGAATAGGGTATAATTGGTATTTTAGGGAATTGGCTCTCCGCTTCTTGTTCAGGGATACAATGTTCTAATTGATGGGAGATGTGTTATCAGCTTTCATTTTACTATTAATATATAGTATCCAAAAATCTCTGTAAGGTTTGAAAAGAACTTTCTGTGAAATAATGTAACTTTCTATCAGATWGACTAATAAGGATTCAGATGAAGTAATGAAGTGCTTCTGGGCTCTGGGGCTGTAGTTCATCATGTGCTAAACTATTAGCACAAGCCTTTGTAAACCTGTAAAATGCCTGATTTTAAAATTTTGAGTAGGTCACATTTAAAGACCAAGACTTCCTGTAGGGGTTGAATGTAAAAGAAGAGCATAACTGATTCCTAGAGGCATGCTGGGCACTGTTTCAGGTGTGGTTTGACTGTAATGCGTTGACCTGTTACATTTTAGCATGTACATTGCCGTTTTTATCCAGCCTTTCACATGGTCCTTCTACACTGCATCTGTTTTCATTGGAATTGCAGCTGCTGGTGAGCATTTTGATTTTTACCTTGTTTTCTTTTCTGGGGCCTATCTATGGGTATCATGCCTTTAATATACAAAGACAGGGGATTTCATTTTCTTGATAAACTTTTGGTTTAATTTTAGTACTTTGGACAGCACAAGGAAACTGCCTGACAATAAATTCAGATGAGCACACTATCGGGAGAAACAGTGGAATTTTCTGGGCACTCTTACAGTCCAGGTAATAATAATTTTGGAGCTCAGTCTCCACTTTCTTTTCAGACCTTTTATTAAAACCTATTTTGTTTAAAATTCAAATCTTTCATGTTTTGTGACTCAAGTTTCTGGCTAAATATGATACAGATTCAGAATCTTATAGGATTACTTTAAATGCATGGATTACTTCATTGGAACATAAGATTTGTAAATAGAAAATAATTTAACCTCCATGTATTTAGCATTTGTTAGAAACTATTGGATTCTTTGCTTATTTTGCTTAATCTCACATAATCTATGAGAAGGTGTTAGCTCCATTTTACAGATGAGAAAATAGACTAATAGTAATTCATCCAAGTAAAACTGTTGTTATCTGAACTTCAGCAGCCATATCCTTCCCACTGAGCTACACTGCCTGATAAATGTAAACAGATACACTAAAATTCAGAAATGAGACTAATTATTCCAATATTTTTATGTGTTTTCTAAGGAAAAAAAAAAGCAAAAACAGTCATTTTGCTATGACCATTGGATCTCAGGAATCTGCCTTGAGGATTTAATTTCATGAGTCTTGCCTAGAATTATGGCCCCAACAAGGCTTAGCAAATGAAAATGTTTAGTTTTAAGGAGCAATAGATTAAGAAACAGGCATGCAGCACACACCTGTAATCCCAGCAATTTGGGAGGCTGAGGCAGGAGGATTGCAAATTCAAACACCAGAATCAGCAACTTGGTGAGACCCTGCCTCAAAATTCACTGGTACCAAAAAAATAAAAAGAAAGAGGCGTGTGAAAGATTCCTTCCTTAGGAAGGTGTTCTCAATAAGGAATCTGATTAGATGCAGATAACTAGATCATAGATTTGTTTTTGTAGATTCTCGAGGATTTTAAAGTAGCATAAACTTGTTTCCAAGAAGTCATTTCCAGAGTGTTTGTAAGTCACATGTTTCAAAGTGAGTCAAGCCCTGTGGAGGGCAGCTCTGAATCAGGTTACTTTCGCATGGACAGAGTCTGAATTCCATCTGGGTTAGTCCAGTTTTTCAGAAAGAGTCAAGGTGGAGTTGAAACTGTTAAATGACCTAGGGCAGGTAGATGAATTTAAAAATTATGACTGTCTCTCTCAATGAATAATGGGAATAGTTGTTTTTAAAAACCGTAAGTATTCCAATAATTCCCCAGCATCCTCTCCCCTCCCTTTTCTTCCCCCAGCTTGTTCTTTGGAAATCTCTACATATATTTTGCCTGGCAAGGGAAAACTCAAATATCAGGTTTGTTTTATTTACATTATTCCATTCAGATATAGTCAAAAAGAATTCCTATTAAGTAGTTCCTCAGAAAAATAACCCATTGCTGCTTTATTGAGAGGTATTATAATGCACTTTGGTACCTCAGGTCCTTGGATGCTTGTTTTAAGTAAGCTTCTCCCTTGGATTCTATCATTAATGAGGATTATAGTTTATGACTATGCTCCAAGCAGGTAATACCTCGGACAGGTGTAAGGTCAGTCTTCAGGGGACTTGAGAGCTCAGTTGTTTCTTCTGTACGTTTCTTTTTTTATATATACTTTTTTTTTTTTTAATGATTATTTTATTTTACATTTTGGCGGACACAACATCTTTGTTGGTATGTGGTGCTGAGGATCGAACCCGGRCCGCACGCATGCCAGGCGAGCGCGCTACCGCTTGAGCCACATCCCCAGCCCCTTTTATATATACTTTTTAAAAAAATATTTTTCAGTTGTAGATTGTCACAGTATATCTATTTATTTATTTTTATGTGGTCCTGTGGATCAAACCCAGTGCCTCACACATGTGAGGCAGGTGCTCTACCACTGAGCTATAGCCCCAGCCCCTCTTCTGTACATTTCTTTGGTTAAAAGAACCCAAGTAAATTCTTGTACTGTTTTCTTTGGGATAGTCAGTATTTCTCTAACTGTAAGACATAGGTGAAAGTGGCCTATTTATCACCTAATCTTAACTTTTTACTCATGCATTAAAGTCAGAATTTAATGAGGAAACATTTTACTGGTTAAAAACAACCCTAGATATAACAGTAAATTCTGGAATTGTCTGGTTGATGCTATCTGCTTTCTCCTTTTTTTCTCCCTAGAGAGTGACCGAAGAACTGTGTTTATTGCCCTGACAGTGATTAGTCTTGTGGGGACAGTTCTATTCTTTCTCATTCGGAAACCAGATTCTGAAAATGTCCTTGGAGAAGATGAGTCTTCTGATGACCAAGACATGGAAATGAATGAGTAAGATGTTGGAGATATTCATTTTCATGTTAAAGTAAATTTTAAGTAAATTTGTCTAATCTAGAGACTACCACCCTGCTTTGTCACGACCTATATCTGATGCTCCTGAAGGTTACCACAGGCCAACAGGAGAGGAGCCTTTTCAAGGAAAGAAAGGAAGAAAATAAGGGTGGGTGGTGAGGGAGAGAGAAGGCAAAGGTCATCTGAGGAAGGAAGGCAGTGAAAGGTTTTACAGGGGATTTATATCTGCCCCCAACTTTGCCACTGACGCATGTGACCCTGCACAGTAGCAGTAACCTCTCCTTCCTSATCTCTAGCCCCAGTTTCCTTGCTGAATTTCGCGGGCCTCCTGTGTGTGTTTTGTGTGCCAGGATGAGAGCTTAGAAAGTGAAATATCAAACAGTCTTTGCCCTTGGTTTCTGTCTGTGTAATACAGCTCTGGGTCTTTCTGATTCCTGAGGGGTGGGTGAGAGGAGGGCCAACAACACTTGCTTGTCACCACTGGCCCTTAGCTTATGGTACCTGATTCTCGTACTGACCTGTGTAGGTGCTTTCCCAAAAGTAATCCAAATGGGAAACAAGCATGTGGCCATGTTTTTGTAAATTACCTGAGCACATTTTAGTGGTGATGCAACTTAAAACATCACAGGCAAATTTGTCTGAAGTAATGTCTCAGTTTGAGAAGGGGAAATGAGAAATTAATCTTTGCCACCCTCATTTTGCTTTGTGTGTGATTGATAAATTGGGAAAGTTGTCTTTTAGCTTTTTATCTATTGTTAATTAGATAAACATTATTGAGCATTGAGCATTCTGTGTGTTGCCTTTTTAATCTAAAATGTGTGTCTGTTGTGTGCATGTGCCTGTGCACAGCCTCATACCACGCAACAGTGTTTCGTTCATTGGTGGGCCACGTGTACAGTGGTGGTCCCATAGGATGACATCGCTTAGTGACACGGTTAGCTGGCCTGATTCCTGTGAGTACACTCTGGTATTGGCACTTTTAAAATTGCCTAGTGATGTGTTTCTCAGCACACTGTTCTCTCGTTAAGTGGCACATAACTTTTTAAGCACAAACCATGGGTATTAGAGAAGGGGTTTGTGTACCTGTGATAAGGTTCAGCTCTTAGGACTACTGCTCAGCCTGTTTAGCTTTCTCTCTTTTTAAATTGTCTTCCAAATTGGAGCCTCCATGTTTTGTCCCAGTAGCACTGCCCATGTGCTGGCTTCCTTGGAAACCTGAGAGAGACAGCAGTGGACAAGACTCAAGTTCTCTTATGGGACTTAACTATAAAAGGGGTGGTGGGGAGTGCACACACAAGAAAATGTCACCATGAGTGGTTAGGAAGAAAGTGGRTGGGGAGCTGGAGGGCTGGGGGTGCTCCCTGAGACCTCCCCTGGTGAGGAGTGAGGCTCAGTGGGCGGCCATTGCCAGAACCAGGCTGAGGAAGAGGGGCAGATAGGTGCCACGTGCTGGAAGGAAGGTGAGAACAGTGTTCACGTTAGATCATGTAATGCTAGGTGGGGAGTCTGCCTGTCACTAGTGGGGTTAGAAGCCATTGAAGGTGTAAGTCGGAACTGATATTGAAGAATCCCACATGCAGGCCTTTCAGCAGTGACATGAAGATGCCCAAAAGCTGCGCAGTCTGTCCTTTATCTCAAATGCTTGGTCTGCATCTCCGAGGACCTGCTAGCGGGGTGACCTTTGGGAGTTTCTTTGTTGGTGCCTGCCGCTGTCCTCCATCCCTCTTTCCCCCCTTCCCCC